AGTTGCTGTAAACATTTGTGTGCACATTTGTGTGAGCACAAGCTTTTAATTCATCTGGATAAATCCCTAGGATTGGAACTGACTGCTGCTTGATAGGTTACCTCTACATTTAACATTTTGTGATGTCAAACTGGTTTCCAAAGTGGCTGTACCATTGTACATTCGTGCCAACAATGAGCAGACATTCCTATGCTTTGCATCTTCTCCAGAATTTGATATTGCTGGATTTTTTGAAAACTGTTTTAATAGGTATTGTAGCATTATATCATTGTGGTTTTAATTAGCATTTCCCTAATGACTGATCTTTTCCTGTGATTATTTACCATCTATTTTGTGTGTGTGTCTCTGCAGATTTTATGCCCATTTTGAGTTTTCTTTTTTTATTGCTGAGTTTCAGTACTTTATGTATTGTAGATATAAATCCTTTGTAAGATATATGATTATCTCCCAGTCTCCGGCTTGAGCTGTCATTTTCTTAATACTGTCTTTCATAGAACAAAAGTTTTAAGGTTGCATAAAATTTGATTTATCAATTTTGTTCTTTACAGTTTGGGGTTTTACTGTCATACCCGAAAACTCTTTGCAAAACCTAAGGTCATTACAGATTTCCCTTTGTCTCAGTCTGAAAGTTTTTTTAGTTTCATATTTTAGACTTAGGTCTATCATCCATTTGAAGTGAATTTTTAAAGTTTATTTATTTACTTATTTTGAGATAGAAAGTGCACACACCAGTGACCAGGGGAGGGGCAGAGAGAGGGAGGAAGAGAGAAAATCCCAAGAAGACTCTGTGCTGTAAGCACAGAGCCCAACATGGGGCCAGAACTCATGAAACTGTGAGATCATGACCTGAGCCAAAATCAAGAGTTGGATGCTTAATCAACTGAGCCATCCAGGTGCCCCTAAAGTCAATTTTATATGAAGTATGAAGTATATGTCGAGTAATTATTTCTGTGCATGAATATCTTTTTGTTTCAGCATCATTTGTTTAAAAGAGTACCTTTCTCCACTGATTGCCTTCGCATCTTTGCCAACAATCACTTGACTGTATTTGTATTGATCTGTTTCTGGACCTCTTTTCTGTTCCACTGATCTAAGTGTCTGTTCTTTTGCCAACCCCTCACCATCTTGATTACTGTAGCTTGGGATTGATAGTAAGTCTTGAATTTGGAAAGTTCACCAGTTTTGTTCCTCTTTTTCAGTTGTTTTGACTATTCTAGTTCCTTTGACTTTCTGTATAACTGTTAGAATTAGCTATTGATATATAAAGTGAAACCTTGGATTGAGAGTAACTTGTTCTACAAGTGTTCTGCAAGACAAGCACACATTTCTAATAAATTTTAACTTGATAAATGGGCGATGTCTTGCAATATGAGTAGCATGTGATGCCAAATGTCACATGATCACAACTGAGCCAATGGTTCTTGAAATTCGCTTTGATATACAAGTGCTTTGGACTAAAAGCATGCTTCAGGAATGAATTATGCTCACAAACCAAGGTTTTATTGTATTTTAAAAGGTTGCTGAGATTTTGAATAAAATTGCAATGAATCTATAGATAAAATTGGGGAGAGTTTTTTTTTTTCTTTCAGCCATGTTTCATAATTTTCAGAATATAGCTCCTGTACATATTTTTTTTAGATTTATACATAAGCACCACGTTTTTTATTATATTGTTAATGACATTATTTTAGTTTAAAATTATAATTGTTCATTGCTGATCTGTAGATATATGACCTTTGTATTTTGAATTTCTGTCCCACAACTTAGCTTAACTCACCTTTTAGTTCTAGAAGATTCTACCTAGACAGTTATGTCATCTGCAAATAGAGACAATTTTAGTTTTTCATTTGCAAACTGTATGCCTTTTGTTTCTTTTCTTTTTTCCCCGCTTATTTCTCTGACAAGGACATCCAGTTCAATGTTGAATAAGAGTGTTAAGAGAAGAAAAAGTTGCCTTGTAATTTCTTACTATTAAGCATGATGCTTGTTGTAGGCCTTTAGTAGATGCCTGTTATTAGTCTTAGGAAGTTCTCATCTGATCCTAGTTTTATCATGAATGTATATTGAATTTTGTTTCGTGCTTTTTCCACATATATGAAGGTGATCATATATGGTTTATCTTATTTAATCTGATCATATATAAATTATAATACTTGATTTTCAAATAATGATTCAACATTGCAATCCTTGGATGAAATCCACTTGTTTATGATATATTACTATTTTTTATAAATTGCTGGATTTATTTGTTTAGTAGTTTTTTTTAGAAGTTTTGCAAGTATGTTCATGAATGGTATTAGTCTTTTTAAAAATGATATCTTCATCTGGTTTGGGTATTAGGATAATACTGACCTTATGAAATGAGTTATTTTCTCTCCTCTTCTCTTTTCAGTAAAAGAGTGTATAGATCATGTTTTATTTCTTCCTTAACTGTTTGGTAGACTTTACCAATGAAACTATGTGAGGTGGGATCTTTCTTTTTTGGAAGTTTGTGTGTGTGTGTGTGTGTGTGTGTATGAATTTGGTATCTCTAATATATTTAGAACTATTCAGATTATATATCCCACATTCAGTTTTGATAGTTTGTGTCTTTCAAGGAAGTCATCCATTTCATTTAATTTGATAAGTGTATTGGCAAAAGTATATTATTTATAATATTCCCTTACTACCTTTTGCTACCTGTGGGATCAATCAGTAAGGTTAGCCCCTCTTTTATTCCTGATATGAATAATTTTTGACTTATTTCTTTTGGTCAGCTTTGACTGGAGATTTACCAATTTTATGAATGTTCCCAAATAAGCAGATTTTTTTTAATTTTTCTCTTATTTTTTTCTGATTTCAGTTTAATTGATTTTGCTCTTTTATTATGTCTTTCTGCTTTTTTGGGGGGACAGTTATTTAGCCATTTCCCACCTTATTCCTTAAAAAGAGGCTTCAGTTGCTATTTTCAATATTTGCTCTTTTCTCACATAAGCATTTGATGATTACAAATTTTCTCCTAAATACCACTTTAGTTGAAATCTATACATTTTGATATGTTCCACTTTTATTTTCATTTAGTTTTGAATATTTTAAAATGTCACTTGACATTTCCTCTTTGACCCATGGGTTATTTAGAAGTGTGTTGTTTAATTTCCAAGTGTTATTGATTTCTAGTTTAATTGTTAGTTCTGATAACATTGTATGATTTCTATGCTTTTAAATTTGTTTTGTTCTTGTTGTTTTTTAATGGACCAGAATATAGTCTAGCTTAACAAATGTTCCACTTACATTTGAAAAGAATGTGTACTGTTCTGTTGTCCTCTCGATTGTTCTATAAATGTCAATTAGGTCAAGTTGGTTGATGGTGTTGTTGAAACTCTACATTTTGAAAACGGACTATCGGTGATCTTGTGCACACTGAAAATTAAGAGCCACTTATAGAGAACTAACACTGATTAGGATGAAAGTGTAATGGAGGTTCAGTTTTGGATGAGGTTTCATATTTGTTATGTTTGTGGGAGCCTAGTATCATCCACTCAGTTGTCCACGCTCAGGATGTAAGCTTAATAATAGATATCTCCCAACCACATTACAAGAACAAGTTTTTCCTCTTCACCTATAGGTCTTCTGCCCATTGGATGGCCTTTGATGCCTTTCCTACAAATATTCTCTCTACCGCTTTCATCTATACCAGCCTTTCTTTTCTTTTTCTTTTTTTAAAGTTTATTTATTTATTTTTGTGAGATACAGAGACAGCATGAGTGCAGGAGAGACAGGAGAGACAAAGAGAGAGAGGGGGCTCTGTGCACCAGTGTGAGCCCAATGCAGGGGCCAAACTCATGAAACCATGAGATTGTACCTGACCTAAGACCAAGAGTCAGACACTTAACTAACTGAGCCACCCAGGTGCCCCATATACCAAGCTTTTTTTTTTTTTTTTAATTTTTTCAATGTTTGTTTGTTTATGTATTTTGAAAGAGAGAGAGATAGAGCATGACCAGGGGAGGCACAGAGAGAGAGGAAGACACAGAATCTGAAGCAGGTTCCAGGATCTGAGCTGTCAGCACAGAGCCCGAGGTGGGGCTTGAACTCATTAACTGTGAGACCATGACCTGAGCCAAAGTCAGTCGCTTTACTGACTGAGCTACCCAGGCACCCCTATACCAGCCTTTCTTAAAGTGTGTTTTATAAAGTACTATATACAGGAGCTACTACTAACCAAAAGGTGGGGTCATGAGGAGTACATCAATTGCTTAGTAAACTGCTGCATATTTCCATCTTGAAATTCATGACAATTAATATCATAACAGCTCTGAGAAATCTGAATAAACACATCTATTTTTTAATTTAATACCCTTTCTTTCTAACAAAAAAATACATAATACCAACTACCTTATAAAGTTTTTAAGATGGGATAACATATATAAAAACACATATTTGAGGGTTGAGTACATATTATCTGGTCAATAAATGTTTGTTACTGTGATTTATAGTAGTTGGTGTTTTTGATGGTGCTGTTTTATTTTTAGATTTATTCCATTGGCTGACCTTTAAAAGTTGGGATAGATATGAAGGTGAAAGAAAAAAAAAAAACATGGGAATGCAAACACCAGGAAAGTCACAAAAATTGACCTGAGCTTTAACTGTTTCAGTACATTTTTATTGTAGTTTATTGATTTTAGTTTTCTTGTAGTGTAGCACATTCATTTTAAAGACCTTCCTCCACCCATTTTGTCAACCTAAATCTGTCTCCCCAGGATCAGTATCAATGGTGTTCCTGGGCATTCTTAAGTGCAGTACTAAGAAAATCAGGCTGTGCAATATCATGGAGGATGCATCTATTATGAACAACAGCTCAGGACTTCACATAATACCTGCAGCCATCCTCATTCAGCAGCATCACCAAGAAGTGCTATGTACTCAGAAATCAAAATTCCCTCCTCCTCAGCTACTTACCCTGGTTCCTTTGGTATCTCTGAGGGAACTTTATTGACACTCTGCTTTCTTTTCTTAAACAGGTGGGCTCTGCATTGCACAGTCTGTGAGAATCCCCCAAGAGCGCAAAGACAGAACCATTGACTTTGATAGAATTATCAAACAGCTCCTGGACACCCCCAACTCCAGGGCCGTCGTGATTTTTGCCAACGATGAGGATATAAAGTAAGGATGACTGGTGTAATTCATTAATATGCATGCTGCAACTTTTGGAGACAGAAGGATCAGGATACTGGCAGAGAAAGGGGAAAAGATAGCACAGAAGCAAATCTATAATTACATAGTGGGGAAGTCTGTACGTGCTCTCTCCCCTACACACGTAGTGGTAGCCAACCACGGAAGCAGCTGTGTGTTCCTGTCATGTCTTCCCCTCTGTTAGCAAAATAAATGTATTCAATTACTTGTAAAAAGAGAAAACCACTGGACCTTTCAGAGATTCTTTTATTAAAAATATACCCAAATGTAACAGACTTTTATCCGAAGAATGGTTCCTCTTAATGTAAAAGAAAAAACGTCTTATAATTCTGGCTGTATTACTACTGCTTTAGACTCAATATGTTCCAAACCAAGCTTGTCCACCTCCACATCTCCAGTCCACTTCTTCCCCTTCTTATCTTGATTCTTCTTGGAGTAAAAAATCTGATTGGAATCATGACTTGTTTTCCTCATTCCTGCATTCTTGGCCAAGCTATGTAGAGCTAACCTTTGTTTCTAGAACATAATGTGTCTGGAATATGTTTCTTTCTTTTTTTTTTTTTATTATCTTCAATTTGTCTTTTTTTTTTAATATGAACTTTATTGTCAAATTGGTTTCCGTACAACACCCAGTGCTCATCCCAACAGGTGCCCTCCTCAATGCATGGGGGCACTTGTACCCCAGTGTTTATAGCAGCCAATAATAGCCAAATAGCTTTCAACAATAGCCAAATTATGGAAAGAGCCTAAATGTCCATCAAATGATGAATGGATAAAGAAATTGTGGTTTATATACACAATGGAATACTATTTGGCAATGAGAAAGAATGAAATACGGCCTTTTGTAGCAACGTGGATGGAATTGGAGAGTGTTACGCTAAGGAAATAAGTCACACAGAGAAAGACAGATACCACATGTTTTCACTCTTATGTGGATCTGGAATATGTTTCTAAGACACAAATGTGCCTTGATTTCTTCTCTGACCACTACCACCTTGGTCCAGAATATTTATTTATTTAGAATAAATAGTAATTACACTTGCTTAAAAATATTTTAAAAATCTAGGTTTATAAAAAAGTTCCATTCACCCTACCGCCTCCCCCTAGCTAACAGGTTCCCTTTTTCAGCTGCAGTGGCTAGTGACCAGTTTCTTGTATACTCTTCTAGACATAGTCTATATTTTTATATGACGGTGGCATACTATGTGTACATCTTGTTGTATTCCCTGCTAGCTTTTCCTCACTATTTTATCATGGATGTCTATGAATATAAGTACCTGTCTATCCAGTCTTTCTAATAGCTGTGCAGAATTTCATCTTATACCCATACTATAATTTGTTTAAATGCTGCCTTATTGATTGACATTTGCAGACTTTTGTAATTATAAATAATGCTGCAATAAACTTCCTTTTCCACATCTGTGCATGCAAATATAAATATGCAAATACAGATTATTAATATATGCATTTTATGCAATAGATATGTAGTAATATAACACAAATATATAAATGCAGTTATATTATGTATTTATCTTATAAGTGTTTTTTTAATATTTTATTTTTGAGAGACAGAGAGAGAGAGAGACAGAGTACAAGTGGGGGAGGGGCAGAGAGAAAGACACAGAATCCATGAAGCAGGCTCCAGGCTCTGAGCTGTCAGCACAGAGCCTGACGTGGGGCTCGAACACATGAACCACGAGATCATGACCTGAGCCGAAGTCGGATGCTTAACCGACTGAGCCACTCAGGCACCCCTATCTTATAAGTGTTTTCAACATAAATGCCTAGAAAAGAAGTTTCCAGGACAAAGATGTATTCCAATATGAATGTTGTTTTCCAAAGAGATTGTGCTGGTATATATCTCCACTGGTGTGAAAGAACTGGATGGAATTACTTAGTCTCTGTCTTAGAATTCAAAATACCCCATTTAATTTGAAGGTGAGTATCTTTTATTCAGAGTGAGGTTTAAGGGCTCAGCACATTACTGCATCCTGCTTGGATTACTGCACTGTCATCATTGTCAGCCTTCCGATTTTGTGCCTCTCCCCTCCACACACACCCTAAATGTTGTTTCTGAATCCATCTATCACTTTCCCAGTATTAAGCTCTGACCTAGGGTGTCAGGATTATTAAATGCCAAGCATAGTAAACCTGAAATTGAGATCCCTGAGGTATTTTGCAACTAATGAGCACTGTGTCACCTTGGGAAGTCTCCCCACTGTCATTCACCCCCATCCTGCTTCCCAATTTCTGAGGCCTCAGTTCTCCCATCAATAAAATGAAAATCCTTTTAAGCTCTTTTTCTGTTTATCCAGCCTCGTCCCACCTTTCTAGTCTTATTTCATTCCCTGCTCCTTCATGTTTTGTGTTTCCTCACTCCCTGGTCTTGGTGTGTTCCCTTCTACCTGCCTAGAATGTTTTTTTTTTTCCTTCCTCATTTTCTCATTCCAGTGCCATCTCTAGTGTGGCTTTCTGAGGGAAGATGTCTCTGAATGATGCACCTTTCACAAATTCTTCATAGTTTATGTCACTAATGTTATTTTGCATTGCTTGATCATTTGTTTAGTGTCCATCTTCTCCACTAGTCTGTAAACACTGTAGAGGCAGAGGTGATACCTTTTTGGACTTCCTTCTGTACTTTAGTCCCTCACATGGTGTTTGGTAGATAGTAAATGCTCAAGAAATGGTACCAAATAAATGAATGAGTGAACTCACTATGCTAATGCACACTCTTTATTAATTTAAAGATAAGCTTCTCTATGTGAACTTCACAATGCTTTAAAATGTGGTCCTAATTTATCATTTAGACCTCATCCCCACTCATCCACTTCTATACCCAAAATGCATGGCTCTGGTCCTCTGGCAGTTCTAATGGCTTCTCCCCATGGTGTTTTGTTTTTTTTGTCTGTTTCTTCCTTCCTTCCTTCCTTCCTTTGATGGTGTTTTTTGTTTCTCTCCTTCTCTACCTGTTGAAATTGTCCATTTTTAAAGTCTGTCTCAAATATGCCCTTCTCCACGAAACTATTTCTGGCCATCCCTTAAATGTATTACTTCTCTTCTTACAAAATTCTAATATGTTGCTCCTAGGCCATTTTCTTCTACACTTTGTGTGGTAGTTACTTGAAAGATTTTGTCTTCATAATATTACTCTTTTGTTTTGTTTTTGCTTATTTCTCTCATCTCTATTGATCTCCTTAATTGTCTCATAAATATTTTTCATACATCATTTTACACATTTTCAAAGTATTGATAAGGTGTGGCTTTGTGTTTATTTCTAAATACATGGTATATGTCATGCAAAAATTACTGCAAATAGCTTTGGTGACTAATTCATCATAATACTCTTGGCTTGTAGATAATGTGTGGTTTTAATTTGGGCTGTAAAAATGCATACAATCCACTCAATAATTATCGGGGCGCCTAGGTGGCGCAGTCGGTTGAGCGTCCGACTTCAGCCAGGTCACGATCTCGCGGTCCGTGGGTTCGAGCCCCGCGTCAGGCTCTGGGCTGATGGCTCAGAGCCTGGAGCCTGTTTCCGATTCTGTGTCTCCCTCTCTCTCTACTCCTCCCCCATTCATGCTCTGTCTCTCTCTGTCCCAAAAATAAATAAACGTTGAAAAAAAAATAAAAAAAATAAAAAATAATTATGCTCGTTCTTTTTGTTATGGGGTTTGTGTGCTGAATATTATTGTATACTGTGATCCATAGCAGTGATAGCAGAAATAGTTCTTGAACGCAGTAATAAAATTTAAGTGCATTTATGTTTCTTCTAAAACATGATCTCAAATATAGTAATGTCTGAAGAGTACTGTTAACTCACAATATTATGTTATTTCTTTTTTCAGAAGATTTACACTGTAAATGGGAAATTTTGAGATTTCTTAGAACATTAACTTCAAATACTTTGTTAGAGAATAGCAGTGAGAAGATAGTAATATCTAGATTTTAAAGCTAAGACAAATGCTCAGTAAGTCAAGGCCACTGATAATTTGAATTTTAGACAATAGTGGATCCTTTTACTGAAACACTTTTTTTTCTGATTATAAAAGTAATACATAACTATTGTACATCCAGTGAAAAACATGGTAAAGTTTTTTGTTGTCGTTGCTCTTTATTAAAAGGAATCTTTAAGTTTACTTTGCCCTGATTATCTAGAAAAGATTAAGGTTAGAGAAACTAATCACAAGCAATGATTTTAAATAATCTCTATAAAATGTGAAATCCCAATAATCAGAGATAGAATAAAATTCTGGTTTAATGTTTACCATCACTTGTTCCCAAACATACAGTTTTTCCCCAAAAGAATTTCTCACGTTTTATCTTCCACTGTTTGTAATTCACATTTCACTTAACCATAAGTATTTTTAAATAGTTTACTCTTAGTTTTCTTAATAAATAAGCTCACAGTTTTACATTTATATTAAAGTGAACATCTACTTTTTGCATTTTTTTAGTTTTGTCTTTTCTTCCTTGTTTTACTTGGCTTCTGCCCACCTTTGCATTTGCACTGTCTTCAATCTCAGCAACACCTTCTCAGTGGACTGTTAGGTTAACAATATGTTTTTAGCAGTATCCTTATTTTTCTGTGCTCTCAGATGACCCTGTACTTCTAACTATGTATATATATACATACACTGGCAAAGTTTAGCCAGCTTTTATTATATACGACTTGAATAACCTATTGCAGTTTTTATTCATTGATTTTTCTTTTTTAACAAGTGCTTGTGGAAAGCTAAGTATATTCACTTTTTTTTTTCTAACGAAGCATATTCTTAACTACTTTTTAATCCATCCTTTGGATGCACTCTTGTTTGTTTAGACAGTCCCCTATTGCTCTACCTTTAGGTTGTCTGCAGTAACGAACATACATTTTTGACAGCGTTTTTGACATTTCCTTTGCATAGATTAGTAGAAATAGTATCTCTAGGTCAAGAGTACAAATGATTGATTGTGTTTATTTTTATTAAAATGAAAAACACCTATAAAAATTAAAATATAAGTGAAACACTTTGATACAAACAGCAGTGTCCAGTCCCTTCAGACTCTCTGGTTAAGCTCTTTTTGAGCAGTTATTTTAATTCTTTCAGCTATTTCTTCCTGTCTTATCTGCATAATGTGCCAATAACACAATTTTGGAATTATTAAGTTTGAATATTATCTATTAATTCCTCTTATGTTAGGTAGAATTTGGCTCACTTGTACCCTCCCTATTCTCTCAACGTTATCCTATAAGGTTTTCATTTAACAGAAACGAGTACGTGCTTTATTATGATTATATAAATATTATATACCACAGCATCAGATCTTTTTTCTATGATATGATTTTTTTGGGCAAAAGGTTTAGTTTTTCAAAGCATTCATATGATGATTTTTTACTTGCTTTTTCTTACTAATGTCCTACGTCTCACATCTGTTTCCATATATTCATGTGAAAGATAATCCATGAGTTCCATTTTTTTTTTCCTGGACACTTACCTTCTCAAATATCCATCTTCCTGTTTTATTCTGGACCAATCTATATCATGGTAAGAAATTTTTCCCTGTCACTCATTTATGTTTATGGTTTCTTTCCTCATTTTGCTGTAGCATGCTCTTCAAAACTTTCTAGTAAAGGCTAAATTCAAGGAAAACATTTTGTGTTGCATGCCTAAAAAATGTTCTCATTCTCCATACTTACTTAGTAGTTGGAACAGTTAGGCATAGCTTCATGTTTGTTTGTTTGTTTGTTTGTTTAAGTGTTTATTTTTAAGAGCATGCAAGCTGGGGAGAGGCAGAGACAGAGGGACAGAGGATCTGAAGCAGGCTCTGAAGTGGGCTCAGAGCTGACAGTCTTGACAGCAGTAAGCTCGATGTGGGGCTCAAACTCATGAACCCCAAGATCGTGATCTGAGCTAAAGTTGGATTTTCAACTGTCCGAGCCATCCAGGTGGCTTCAGACTTATTTTTAATTACATGATACCTGGCACATAAATGATTTTCAGCCAATAGCTATGGTGGCTAATGAGTTGTAGGACTTGTAACTTGCAGGGAGTTTGAGGTTCTAATTTTGGATGGAAAGTCTGTAAGTTCTAGAGGACATATATGCTAATTCTGTTAGTACTGGGATTCTTTGTGTGTTAAATATTAGAATTCCAGATTATAAATTTTTTTTTTCTCAGAATTTGGAAGGCATTGCTCCACTATCCATCATCTTTTGTTTGCTTGGTTTTTGTTTGTTTGATTGTTTTTGCTATTAAGGGGTTGGTGATATTCTGCTTCTTATTTTTCTCCCTGTGTCCTGATCTTCTTTTGGAAGCTTTTAGGATATTTTAATTTTTTTCCCCAGAAATCTTAAATTGTGTGACATGCTTGATTTTTCCCCATTATTTTGTTGAGTGAATCTTTTAAATTTGGAAATTCATATGATCAATTTCTTGGTCTCTTCTTCATTAAAAATATATTGTTACAAAATTCACTCTGTTGTCTCTGTATATTTGTTCTGGAAGTTTTATTAGCTGAATATATGTGTCCCTAGATTCATTCTTTAAGACTCTTATATTTTCTGAAATGTGTTCTACCTTTTTGTTGTTGTTTTGCTTTCTGGATAATTTTCTTCACTCTTTTTTTTTCTCTTCTAACATATTTCATATTTTAATAACTAAGAGCTATTTCCCATTGTTTGTTTCTATTTTCTATGTTATCTCGTTCTTGATTACAGAAGATATGATAATTCTTATTTAAATATATTTGTTTTTGTTCTTTTCTATATGTTTCTCTGCCCCACTATACATCAGTTTCCTTTTTGTGTTAACTTATTTGGTTTCTAGTTTACATTGGAGATTTTCTGCAATTACAGGTGATTTCTGGAAGTTCCCATTTGAGAGAAAGACCAAAGAGTTCTTGATACATGGACAGTGCATATCACCTAAAAGGGCTCTCAGTTGTCTGGTTAGACATCCAAGTTGCCATTCCATTAGAGGGTATCTCTATGGCAGTATATAGAATTATTCTTCTAGGGTGGTCCAGATTTTTTGAGAAAAGCTGTTTTCTCCCGGGGGAGACACTCTCTTAGTTTTCAGCATTCTGTAGGCAGAAGTGTAAATTTCCCAGAGAGTCTTACCATTTTAATACTTAGTGATAAATTTAACTTATAATTAACAGGTTTAATTCAACATTTCTCATTCACAACTTTCTGGTATTTGGATGTTTACAATATCAGAACCTATTCCTTATAGTTTTAATAGAAAATTACCATTCCATTTTCTGCCAAGAAGAAAAAGAATTTGGCCATGTACCTATGTGACAAAGTACCTCCAAGTCTTGAGAAACAAACAAATCATTTCTCCTGTGGTATGACCCACCAGAGGACTCTTAGTTGTAGCTTCCTCTGTTCTACAAATGCAATCACCTTATCCACCTCTTCTTTCTTCCAAAAATATATTATAACTGTACCATGATTGATTACTTTTCATTTTGTTTTATTTGCCTTGTTGCCCTTGATATCTATATCTATATCTATATCTATATCTATATCTATATCTATCTATATAAATTTTAAATGTTTATTTTTGAGAGAGATACAGAGACACAGCACAAGCAGGGGAGGGGCAGAGAGAGAGAGGGAGACAAAGAATCCGAAACAGACTCAGGCTCTGAGCTTTCAACACAGAGCCCGACACGGGGCTTGGACTCAGGAACGGCGAGACCATGACCTGAGCTGAGACACTTAACTGACTGAGCCACTCAAGTGCCCCATTTATATAGTATTTTTATTTATAAAACTGGGCTGTAAAATTTTCAAGTATGGCATACTTGTTCATTTCAATGAATAATTTAAGACCCTTAATTTAGATTGACATGGTGCTTTCCAGAAATTATATAGACCACCAGCAGTGAATGCAAACTCTCATTTCTCCAGCCCCATGCCCAGATTCACAAAACAAAACAAATCTTTTGGTCAACATGAAAAGCAAGTGTGATATCTTACCCTATTTTACATTTCCCTCCTTTCTAATGTATATGAATATGTATCTCCAGCTTACGGGTTATTTATATTTCTCCTTTTGTCATTTGTCTTTTACTGTTTCTTTCCTATTTTCTTCAAGCTGTTATGATCATATTTCTTAGTGATTTATAAAATTTCTTTATATATGCAGGGATATAAATCCTTTGACGTACTTCTTTTTTGCCATTGATTACTTACTTTTTGAGAACTGGTAGCTTGCTTTCCTTCTGCTTGATTCCTAATTGATATATATACGTTCAGCAGCTGTTCCTTATCATTAATATAACTTTTTCTGTTTTTTCACAGGCAGATCCTTGCAGCAGCCAAAAGAGCTGACCAAGTAGGCCATTTTCTTTGGGTGGGATCAGACAGCTGGGGTTCCAAAATAAACCCACTGCACCAGCATGAAGATATTGCAGAAGGAGCCATCACCATTCAGCCCAAGCGAGCAACAGTCGAAGGTATGGGTTTTAACCATTGTAAAATATGCTAAGAGACTGGTTTGTGCCATGCAGGATGGCTCATTCAGGCGTCTCTTTGAGGATTTGGTATTTTTACATAATGTATGCAGTGTAATTTCAAACTTGTAGCCATGAAGTGCACATTAGGCCATATATCTCGTCTGTTCTTTTCATTGATAGTCCTCTTTTGAAGAGATCATGTGTTTTTATAATATCAAAATTCTTATTTTTTTTTTATTGTGGCACCAGAGCTTTCTGAGAGAAGAGCATCACCATTAATAAGTGAAATAATAACACAATCCAAGTGTACATAAGTGAACTGCATTTTTCTGAAAGAATATTTTCCCTTTGCAATGTATCCATTACTTCTACAGCAGAATAACTCTGGGGATTCTTTTCTTTGTTACTTTGTGGAGTGTCTTCCAGCCCCCAGGATCTCACTGCATACCACCTCTCTCAGGCACCAACATCACCTTGCCTTCATGGGTCTCTTTTTTTCTCACTCTCTTTCTCTTGCCTTCCTAAATCATTGCCTCTTTCTTTTCCTTTGCCTTCCTTGCTGCTACAAAGAGTCTTCAAGAGGAAGAATGAGGAGAGGGTGTTTATTGGTATCCTTCTGATCTAACAGAAGTTGCTGACTACAATTTATGTTCTCCTTTAATTTGAAAAGAAAAGTTATTTTGAAAAGAAGATACTGTGAAGAAAAGGAACTCCTCCACTGGTATCCTGCTTTGTGTTTCTTTTCTGGTGGACCGTGTCTCCAAAGATTCCCTAAAACATGCTTGCTTTGCACGTTAAAAAAGCCTCTATCCTCTCACTCAAAAAGGGATCAAATATTTGCATTTCTTTCTATTCTGTCTCCACTCCAGTATAATTAATTATTCTCCCCAGAAGACTGCATGGTCTATGGAGACCTTTTTAAACAAGCCAGGTTGTGGTTCAGTCACTGTTGCCTTTCTGTGTTATCTGGGGGAGATAAAGATCCCATGAGTCACCCATGTGTTCATTGGGAGGCTTTGAATTCATTTCATTCCCCAGTACGTGTCCTGAGAAGATTGCTTATCTTACAACACAGACCAATGCATTTGCAGATGGGTTGCAAAAATAAAAGATAACATTTTAACTATCTCCACTCCTTTTCACTAAAAATTTTGAGTATCCACCATATGTCTTGCTCTGTTCTGAAAGTTGAAAAACAAGATGAGGACAAAATCCTTACTTTCAAGGCATACAGAGCTGAGAGAAGGTGTCAAAAATAGCCATTGACTGAGTAACATGAGAAACACTGTAAATGCAATACGGAATCGATACCACAGGGTACAAAGGAGATACTGTGGAAGTTTCTCTGAGTGGTGGTGTTGCAGTTGGGGATACTCCTGAGAGGAGCTAAAGTCATGACTTGAAATGTATCAGGCAGGTGAGGAGAAGAACACCATCCACCCCCAACCCAGGGACAGAAACAGAAGAGTGAAGGAGCAGGGCATGCTGGAATAACAGTAAATAATTCATTCTACAGCACAACCCTGAAATCCTGAAATCCTTATGGTTCTTTAAAAATGTTCCCACTTACAGGGCATTGGGACAACTCTTTTCTCTCCTAGAGTTCCAGTCACTGCACTATTGGCCTAATTAACTCCTAATTCTGTCCTTTAGGACTTTGCTCAGACATTAATTTTCCTTGGAAGCTACATGTGACCATTCCACCTCAGCCAGGTTTGGGTTAGACACCCTTTCTGTTGCTTCTGTGGCATCCTTCATGACCCCTACCATTGTAGCATCTCTTTACTTGTCTCTGTCTAGAAACATATCTGTTATGTATGCCCTGCATTGTGTCCCCAGCACCAGTACCCCTTGGCCTGCATATGGAAGATACTCAAACAGATTTTTAAGTGTTTGGATGCTGAGATGGGTGGAGGAATCACAGACCACCTGACATCCTGCCATAAAATATGGCAGGGAAACGGGCCAGAGTTGGATTATGAAGGGTCTTGAAATTATGCTAAGGAAAGTGTTCTTTATTCTAAAAGTCTGGGCAGTGTCTGGAAAGTAGAATGTGATCAAAGGTGGTTAGAATGTTCACTCAGGTGATGTTATGGAGAAGTGAAGTGTAAGAGTCAGGTGAGAATGAAAGCAAGTAAGGAATGAGTGAGGTCCTTTCTTCCTTGGCTGTAGATGCCTCAAGACATGGATGCCTATACTCCATGGTTACTAGCTCCAGTTTCATGATATTTAGGGAAATTATTAAGTATCTTGAAGTTTTTATCAATTCTTGAAAAAAAATTTCCCGCTGTGTATTTAGGGATACACAAAGTTCTCTTTTTTTGGGTGGGGAGAGGGGTGATACGCAAAGCTCTTAAATCAAACACAAAACAACATCCTAGATCTGAAAAAAACATATTTATATCTACATTTGTATCTATATCAATGTCTATATCTATATCTATGCCATTTATATCTATATCTCTCTTTTGGGGAGGGGTTGTTCCAAACAATGAATTGAGAGAGAGATATTGTTAAAATTGGAACACGGTAGGGCAGCAACTCTTTATACAAAACTCTCTGCTCCTAACCAGATAAAAATGAGGATTTTCTCTCTTTCTCTCTCTCTCTCTCTCTCTCTCTCTCTCTTTCTCCCTTTGGCTGGTGTGTGTGGCTTATGTCTAGCCATATTGTCTATGTGCATTGCTACAAAGAACAGACTAGAGTTGCTCACTTAGAAGATGAGACATCAAGATTGTCACTGTGCATTTATAGTGACACACTCCTAAAGAAGTGCAAAAAGAAATGCATTTGCTTGCACTAAGGTTTGTAAAGCAAGCTATGAAATATCCCAAATGAAACTAATAAAATGGAGAATATTCTGTATCAGCAAATAAGTTGTCCTCTCCTAATGTTTCTTTTTTCTTTTTGATAAATATCCCATATTGATTTCTACTGTCGTGGAACATCCTCCAAATATTTATAATACTCCTATATCCCTGTATCTTTGTGTTTTGTAATGTTGTATGTACAAATGCAAACAGGAAAAAGGCAATCAATAATCAACATGTTTCTTTTCTTTAGATTTATATTTTGAACATGTTCAGCAAAGATCTGAATTTTTGGCTGGTCTTTTCTCTATCTGCATGAATAATTAACAATAAATTGCTTTAGGCAAAATTGCTAGCAAGCACATGGCCTCTGTGAGAGTAGTGCTCATCTTCTTTTATCTTCTATCTGTATTTATTCTCCATTTATAGAAGAAAGGGCTTCTGTGTTTGCTAGCCAAGTGTGTTGTTCTTCCCCCTTTCAATTTGATGTTGATAGGAATTGTGCCCAGGAAAGGTCGGCCATGGCCCTGATCGCTGCCCAACACTCACAGGATATCTGGAGAACGTCTCCACAACTTGGCAGCTCTCCTCCAGCTCCTGAGCCAAAACACTTCTGTAATTTTCAGTGTCTCTGAATTGTCTGATGAGCCAAGGGATCTCTGGCATTTTCCTCTTTTCTGTTGCCCCATTAACTAGGATTTTCTGTCATCCTTTCCAGCCCCCAACAAGTCCTCAGAGCAAAAAATGTCCATGTTGCTTTCAACTCTTTGCCCTACAAAGTGCTCTGCTTCTCTGAGAATAGGCTGTCCAAGGCAGCCTCTAATTATAGTCAACAGGGATTATGGACCAGTATCTTTTCATCTCTGCTATAATCATTAACATTAGGGAGCTAGTGTAATGAAGGGTGGATTTTCAAAGCTAACTATAATGGCTCTGACTATTGGTGATGTTTTCAAATGTGTCTGTGGAACAGCTTGGTTCCTGAATTATATCTGCAATCTATGTAGGAGAGACAAAAAATGCTCTGGACCTGGCATAAAAAGTTGGTTATTTCATGCTTTTTTAATTCAAGACTGAAATGAATTCTTTATTTTTCCTAAAACTGGAGATCAAAGCTATGAAGAGCTAAACTAAAATATTTCTGGCTCCAATTTAGATGTGTCCTACTTTAGCCTTCCTTGATTACCTAGAATGTTCCACACATATCACAAGGTTTTGTAGGTGAATGGCAGAAAATGACAAGAAAGAAAACATTGCCTTAAACCACAGTGCTATTTCTGAGCAATGCATATGCCTTTTAGAGCTATAACTGGTTTAATAAGAGAGCAATGAGAGTTTTGCATGTTCAGTGTCATGACAATTGGTTTATTGAATCTTTTATAAATACTGGTAAACTCTAGCAGGGTATCAGGCACCAACCTAAACAGTGAGATATAGCAAGTGACAGTCTAGACCAGGTCCTTGCTCTCATTAGTTGCCTACTTAATTTAGAAGTGACAGGTGATTTAAAAAAAAAAGTATAAACAAGAAAATATCATATTAGAATAATTTTACATTTTCCCCCTAAAAACCAGCTTGCAAATTATGGAGATACGAAGGAGGAAGAGAGACCAGGACACAATACAGGTCCAAACAAAGATTGGGAGAATGTGGGTGCAGGTCAGTGGCTCAAGCCTCTGTAGCCTACTCTAGATTCCTGGCTCATATCCATAACAGATTCTTTCAGTGCTTAAAATCCACCAAAGTTTCCCATTTCCCTATTTCTTACTTCTCTGGAAAATAACTTTTTCTTCAAGACAGATCAAATCATTAGTATTTTCAAAAGACTTCCTGCTTTTCTCAGAGTTAGTCTACCCTGCAAAAGCAAACTCATTGCTCCCAAGTCTAAAATGTGCTACATGCCCCCTTTCCTGAAAGCACCAAACACACCAGGCTCACCTGTGGCACTTACAACTAGAATCTGAACCTTAAGGGCAGTGCCTACCACTCATGGCTTCCTTGAGATTATCCATCTTGCACCTCTTGCGTTCTTTGTATGTCTTGCCTTTTTTTCAATTTTGGAGAGACTATCTGGGCAGCACTGGCCTGTGGCTTAATTAGGTGACTTGCTGGAATGTTCCAAATACACAAGGGAAGCCTCAGCTCTGACTCCTCAGAAAGTAGGAAGGCACAGGTAAGGCTGTTTGTCTT